AAAAAAAAAAAAAAGATGCTAAAGCCAGCCTTGACACAAATTTGGCAACATTTATCACAACCTCAACAATGACCATAGTGAACATCGTCATTTCTGCCAGGCCACTGCCCCTTCTTTTGGTGGCAGAATCACCTCTTCCTTTTAAAAACTAATGAATTGTTGGACACTACATCAAAAACCAATGATGTACTCTATGTTGGCTAATTGAACATAACTTTAAAAAAAAAACCTGTTTCCATTCTCATACTCTGATACTATTCCAGGATCCTGACCATGACCTGAGCTGAAGGCAGATGCTTAACTAGCAGAACCACCCAGGTGCCCCTCCTCTGCTGTTTTTTTTCTTCAAGATTTTATTTATTTATTTGAAAGACAGATCACAAGTAGGCAGAGAGGCAGGCAGAGAGAGAGGAGGAAGCAGGCTCCCCGCTGAGCAGAGAGCCCGATGCGGGGCTTGATCCCAGGACCCTGGGATCATGACCTGAGCCGAAGGCAGAGGCTTAACCCAATGAGCCACCCAGGCACTCCTCCTCTGCTGTTTTTAAAATTAGTTTGAAAAGGCTTTCTGTCCTTGTAGCTGAAAGAGTACTAATTAATACTGATTAAGAAAATAATCTATGGGTGAAATAAGTGATGGGGATTTAAGGAGTGCACTTGTCACAATGAGCACTGGATGATGTATGGAATTGTTGAATCACTATATCGTACAACTGAAATTAATACTGGACTTAAAATAAAAACTTAATAAATAAAAATAATCAAAGATACATATAAAGATCTATGTAAGAGATTCATTTTTATGGCCTATTTTCCTTATGTGTTTTACAAATAAAATGAAATACTGATGAGAAAAAGTGAAGCATTTAGGAAAATGGGGTGCAATAATTCCATTAATATTTTGTCTATCCTTTTAAATATCTTTTTTGTTCCTCATTAATTAACACTAGATGATTTTTCAAAGGGAGATTTTTGTTGTTGTTGTCAACTGCCAAAAAGTAAAAGGACGATTTCAAATTCAAGAGCTGAAGCATTATTTACAATGGCCAAAAAAGAAAAAAAATAGAAAATGCAACAATAAAAGTTAAGTAAATTACAACACTCTCACAAAATGAAATACTATGGTGACATTACAATCATTTTAGACTAAGAAAGATAAGGAAGTGACTATAACACTTCATTGAATAAAAAAAGAAATTATTTAAAAATCATATGGTATGAACCTAATTTTTTTTTAAGATTTTATTTATTTATTTGACAGAGAGAGACAGCAAGAGAGGGAACACAAGCAGGGGGAAGAGATAGAGAAGCATACTCCCCGTTGAGCAGGGAGTCCCATGTGGGACTTGATCCCAGGACCCTAAGATCATGACCTGAGCCAAAGGCAGACACTTAACGACTGAGCCATCCAGGCCCCCCAAACCCAATTTTTTAAAACATAAATCTAACTACAGAGAGAGAGAGGAAAGACTGGGATGAAATATACCAAAAATGTCATTAAATAGAGATTTCATTGGTGGGATTACAAATCAATTTTTTCATTTTTTTATTATTTCTCTTAACTTTCAAATTTCTTGTAATTAATTAATATGCATTTTAAAATAAGCAATAATTCATTTAGGAGATAGATTTACCATTTCTCAAGGGAATCTTTGTTGGCAATACTGTTCCTATTTCAAGATCCAAAAAATTAACAAATTAGGGATGAGAAGAACTGTTAGAATTTCTTTTTCTAATTCTTTTACAAAATGTGAAGCAAAGGTGAAAATCAGAAGTTGGGAAAAACCTAAATATAAAGGTAGCATATATTAATAAATCATGTTAAATGACTCATAATAATCTCTTTTACTTAGTATTTATTCTCAGTAGTCATAACCAGTCTTAATAAATAGTCTCGTAATAAATAAATAAATAAATAAAAACAATCTCATAATCTTAGGAGCCTCAGCCTGAAGGGTTAAAACTAAGAGAGAAATGATGGGAGTTAGCAATTCCATGAGCAAGAAATAGGATTCTAAGACCACCCTGAGAGAAATCTGATGAAACAGAATAGAAAAGGACCAGCCTGTGTTTTCCAGAGACATTGTTCTGTACTTTGTCAAGATCTCAAAACTGGGATGTTTGGGTGGCACAGTCCATTGAGCATCTGCCTTCAGCTCTGGTCATGATTTCAGGGTCCTGGTATTGAGTCCCACATGGGGCTCCTCCTCAGTGGGGGCCAGCTCCTCCCTCTGCCTGCAGCTCCCCCTTCTTGTACTCTTATGCTCTCTCACTCTCTCTGTCTGGCAAATAAATAAATAAGTCTTTAAAAAAAAAAAAAAACTCAAAACTCTATATGTCAGCCAAATGTAGCAGTAAACCTCAGTGGAGAGTATCATTTGGGCAGGCTGACATGCCAGATTCCAAGAGGAAAATCTTCAGAGCTGATCAGAGGGGAAATAAGTAGGTGTGGCTACAAAAGGAAGGAAAATGAAACCTAGAGATCTAAGAAGGATGAAGAAAGGCGGAGCTGGCAAAGAATACGCTGTTGAGCTAAGTTGGTGGTGATTAGCACATACCAGAGAAAAAAGGATGGTTTTATTCCAATGAAGCTGAATTTTCAAACTCAAGCCCTGACTCAAAAAATTGACTCCAACAGAGAATTTTTAGGGCAGTGAAATTATTCCCTATGATACTATAATGGTGGATACACGTCATTATACATTTCTTAAAACTCATACAATGCACAACACCAAGAGTGAACCCTATTGTAAAGCATGAACTTTTGATTATAATCATGTGTCACTGTTGGCTCATCAGTTGCAGCAAATGTACCACTTTGGTGTCAGATGATGATAATGGTTAAGATGAGGGTCAGGAGAGGGATAAGATATATGGGAACTCTGTACATCCCACCCAAATTTGCTGTGGACCTAAAACTACTCTGGAAAATAGTCTATTATTTATTAAATGCTTATTGGTTCCAAAGAACTAAACTAATCTGGCTCCCAACCTTCCCCAAATCTTTACTCTTAAAATAAGTAGAAGACGTGAATGATAGAAGCAGGTCTAAGTCCACCATCATTGTAGCCACAGAATCAATCAGGGACTTTCAAGAAACAGCAAAAAATGCGATGCAGGAAACCTGGCTGTTCTGTGTCTTTAACTGGGCTCTTCACCCACAACTAGACTCTCTCTCCATAAGGAAAACTGACTGTCTTGAAATGCCCTAAGAGAAACAAAATTAACATGCCTAGAACATGATACAAACCACCTCATAGTCTCCCAAATCCAACCCATCATGGCAATAACATCCTTAATCATTTGTTGTATGTTTCTTAAGTAATGGTAATATGCTGTGTCCATGAATTAGAACCATACCAGATGAAACCCCAGATAAGAGGGAATGAATCTTGGGACTACTCTCTCTAAAAGAATCAGCCCACGTGGAAGGCATTAGGACTTACCTTCTTTGAGGCTGTGTACATGTTAAGTGTTTCCCCTTTGCAAGCCCATCTTTGTGTAAAAGTGCCAAAAGCACATGTTGTGATGAGCACTGGGTGTCATACGCAATGGAAGAATCCTTGAACACTACATCAAAAGCTAATGATGTACTATATGTTGGCTAATCAAACATAATAATAAAAAATTTAAAAGTTTAAAAGTTTAAAAAATAAAAGTGCCAAAAGCACAACACATTTTTAATAGTGAAAAAGGAAAAACAAAACAAAAAGTGTTGGGGTTTTTTTTGGTTCTTGATAGTGCTCCATAAATCAAGATAGCACTATATATGTACATTACTCTCCTACTCATTTTGTTCCTATAAACTAGGATATCTAGATAGCCTAGATATCTAGATTTAAACACCCTCCTCTGACCTCCCTCTGCCACTACATAATACTATAAGAGAAAGTTTCCAAATGTTTTAAAGCATTTGCTTTGTTTAAAGGGCGCCTGGGTGACTCAGTTGTTTAAGTGTTTGACTCTTGATTTTGGCTCAGGCTGTGACTTCAGGGTCCTGAGACTGAGCCCAGGATGGGACTCTGTGCTGAGCATGGAGCCTACTTAAGATTTTCTCTCTCTTTTTCTCTTCCGGTGCCCCTCTCCCTCCTCAAAAAATAAAAATAATAAAATAAAATATAAACAATTTGCCTGTTTTCTGGAACAATTTCAAAGAATAACTACCTCAAAGCTATAAATAATGCAACTAAAGCCACTGTTTTCATTTTCAAACACTTTGAACCCAGATTTTCAAAAGTCATAGAATGAAGTTTTATGTTTAAACATCTAAGTTCAGCTTTCTTCCAGGAAAAAAAGGCGAGGAGGTTGGAGGGGGATTAAGACTAAAATACTCCTTATTTGCACAATTTGACAAAATCTTCCAATTTCTCAGTATAGATGCCCACTGACCCAGCAATTCCACTTCTAGGAATTTTTCACAAATATATTTGTATATTCACATGAATGTGTACATAAATGTGTACTGCTGCATTATCTATACCAGTAAAAACTGGAAACAGCATAAATGCCTATTAATTGTTTAAATAAAAGATGCACGCACCATATTATGCACCAATTTTTTTAAATGAGGTTGACCTAGCTATACATCTTGCCGTGAAAAGAGATCCATCTGTGGGAAAAGGCAAATTACAAAACAATATTAATAACTTGTATGGATGAAAATTTCTGGTAAAGTATACAGAAAAATGATACAGAGTTGTGGAGTAAGAGAAATTTCTGTTTCTACTTTACTCACCTGTCTGCATTTTTTCCAATTTTTTTACAAGGTTACACCACTTTTGGAATTTCTTTTTAAATTGAACACAAAACGCAAGAAGTCCAAATAAATATATCAGCTTGTAAAAAAATTCATTGGCCCAATATATGCATGTAATAAATATAGACCATTATTATAATTTGCAAAAATCCAAATAAATCCCTTGATTGCCCTGGTGGCATCTGAGTAAAGCCCCGTTGGATGTCGTCCCTGGAAAGAAAGCTTTGAAAATGAACACCAAACTTGCCTGGACTTCCAGGGAAGCGTCAAACCTCCACCGCGAAGATGGATGCTCGGGAAACAGAAAAAGCTTCTGTAGCCTTGCTGGCAGCCGGGTTGGCAGAGAAAGCACATGCACAGCAGAGCTGGGCGGGCTTGTCCAGTCATCTAGCCTAGAGTTTAGATCGCGGGACGCCCCTCCAAGGTTCGCCCAGGCCCCGCCCACCAGCGGCCGCCCAGCTTTCGTTTCCCACTGAATGGAAAGTGAAACTCAGCGGGAGTCGGCTGTGCCCAGCGCCTCCGCAGGGGGAGCAAGAGCGATGCACTGCCCACACCCGGCGGCTGGGAGACCCAGCAGTCTCTGGGGTTTCGCTTTTCAACAAGTATGCTGTGCTTCCGGGGCTTGCCCTATGCCTGCTAGGCCAAGCATACATGGGCCTTTTTATCCGGCATTTTATGGTCATTGAGAGGGCACTTAATGTGAGGAGCACTGGGTATTACAGAAACTGATCAATTATTCAACACGACCTATGAAACTAATGATCTATTTGTTGTACAAATAGCTTTTCTCTGAAAGTTAGCTGGCTTATTGAAAAAATTAGCCAACTAACTAAGAATTAGTTGGCTAATTGAATTTAAGTTTTTAAAAAAGGATGTGTCTTACAGTCGTTCGGTGTTTCACAGTATACATTACATTTTGCCTTTCGTAATATAATTTCTGAAATTGTGTATCTTAAAATCGATGGCTTGTCGATTCAGTGAAATGTGGCACATGGGTATAATGTCCTTATTCCTTGATTCTGCTGCTGTTCCGCGGAGCCAGCAGAGGACAGCCGTGGTGAATGGTGAAGCACAGAGGAGAGAGGAAGTAAACTGTTTATTCCTCAGAACTTACAATGAGAAGATCTAACAAGAGGGTGTTCTTTGAAAGCATTGGCTGACATTTCTCAAAACCAGGCAAGAAAGAGTTTAAATTGAAACTGGCTGATAGTTGCCTCAAAAGAAAGTTGGGGTGGGGGGGGGCGCCTGGGTGGCTCAGTCCCTAAAGCGTCTGCCTTTGGCTGGAGTCCTGATCCTGGGGTTCTGGGATCAAGCCCTGTTCAGCGAGGACCCTGCTTCTCCCTCTCACTCTGCACCTTCCCCGCTTGTGCTCTTGCTCACTCTTTCTCAAATAAATGAAATATTTAAAAAGGAGAAGAAGAAAGGAAGGAAGAAAAAGAAGGAAGAGAAGAAAGAGAAGGAGAGAAGGAAGGAAAGAGAGAGAGAAAGAAAGAAAAGAAAGAGAGAAGGAGGGAAAGAGAGAGAGAAAGAAAGTTTGTGCCCTAAGAAGCATTTTCTATAACTTCCACGGTTTCACTGAAAATCGCAGGCGGATTTCCTTCTCTTTTTCCTTTTTGATTCCAAGTGCAAGACAAGAAGCCACACCTAACTACCTCACTTGAAAACTGCCTAAATTTGGTCACAGAGAAAAACCCTTGGCTGACTTTATGCAATTATCAAATTCTCCTTCGCTGTGGAAAGCTACTTTTAGAGAAAAGCTATTTGTATAAGATGAGGAAAAATTTATAGAACCTGATGCTAATTTTCATTCTAGGAAAAGGACAGGCTAAGGGAAGTGGTGTTTTAAGAAAAAGAAAAAAAAATCAATGACTAATAGAAGTACATATTAGTACTTCTTTACATAGTTCATTTCTCCACAAACACTTCTGGTTTCATGTGACTTGTTTGCTCATTCTCCTCCACAACTCTTTCCCTTGTCTGTTTTCTTCTGCATTTTATCAAGACATGCTTTTTGTATTTTAAACCTTATTTTATTTTGCATGGTTCCAAAAATAAATTATAAGTTTGATTTTCAGGCGTGTAGATTGAATCTCTGTCATAGAACTCCTTTGGGTAAACACAATCTGTTAAGGAGTGAGTGGAGATAAACTGAAGCAGTCAAACAGAACTCTTAAGTTTTAATTTCCTGGCATGAATTTCAGGGTAGAACTAAAACAGATTATGATTTGGCATCTATTACCTTTCCTAAATTATTCTCTATTCTCTGGCAATTTATTGCCATTTTTTAATTAAATATTTTATTTTTTGGAAAGTAATTTTAAACATACAGAGAAGTTACAAAAGTATAACAATGAACCCATATACTCTTTACTTATAATTAACATTGTGGCACAGTTGCTTTATTACTTTTTTCTCTTGTGTACACACAGGCACACACACACACCTTATATGTATATATTTTAAATCACTGTTCTTTTGTTTGCTGAACTATTTGAAAGGAAATTGCCTATCAAGACTCACCACCCATAATAATCCAATGTATCTCCTAAGACCAAAGAAATTTTCTTACATTAAGTGAGAGCAATTGTCAAAATCAGAAAATTTAATATTGATAAAATACAATTTTCCAACACATACACTAAATATTTAAATGTTGCCAATTATCCCAATTTGCCCTTTATATTAACTCTTTTTTTACCAACACAAAATCCAAGCTATAATATTATTCATTTGGGGTTTTTTTTTAAGATTTTATTTATTTATTTGACAGAGAGAGATCGCAAGTAGGCAGAGAAGCAGGCCGAGAAAGAGGAGGAAGCAGACTCTCCACTGAACAGGGAGCCCAGTGTGGGGCTCGATCCCAGGACCCTGAGACCATGACCTGAGCTGAAGACAGAGGCTTTAACCCACTGAGCCACCCAGGCACCCCTCATTTGGGTTTTTATTATTAAATGTTTTATTTTGAGAAAATTGTGGAGTCACATGCGGTTATAACAAATACAACAGAGAAATTCCAGTTTCTACAACCTTTAAAACGATAGCACACATCACAACCAAGATATTGATACCAATGCAGTCATTGTCAATACAGAACATTTCCATCACCACAAGAATCCCTCATGTTGCACTATTATACCCACACCTACTTCCTTCCAGCACTGCCCCCTCCTCATCTGACATTACTCATCTGTTCTCCTTTTCAATAATTTGTCATTTCAAAAATTTTATGTATTTGGAATCAAACAACATGTAAACCTTTGGAAAAGAGGGTTTTTTCCCACACAATATAATTCTCTTGAGATATATCCAGATTATTGAGTATATCATTAGTTTGCTCCTTTTTATTACTCAGTAGGATTACATGACACCACAGTTTAACAATTCATATATTGAAGAATATCTGGATAATTTCCAGTTTTCTTTTTTATAGAATTCAGAGGTAGAATTCAGTGATTCATCAGTTGTATACAACACCCAGTACTCATTACTTCAAGTGTGCTCCTTAATGTCCATCACCGAGTTATCCCATCCCCCTATGCACCTTCCCTCCAACAACTCTCAGTTTGTTCCCTAGAGTTAAGAATCTTGTTCATGTGAATATCATTCTCAATGGGAAAAAACTGAGAGCCATCCCAGTGAGATCAGAAACACGATAAGGATGCCCACTTTCACCATGCTGTGCAACATAGTACTAGAATTTCTAGCAACAGCAATCAGACAACAAAAAGAAATAAAAGGTATTCAAAGTGGCAATGAAGAAGTCAAACTCTCTCTCTTCACAGATGACATGATACTTTATAAGTAAAACCCAAAATACTCCACTTCCAAACTACTAGAACTCATATAAAAATTCAGTAATGTGGCAGAATACAAAATCAAAACACAGAAATCAGTTGCTTTCTTATACATGAACAATAAAAAAATTGAAAGGGAAATTAGAGAATCCATTCCATTTACTATAACACCAAGAGCCATAAGATAGCTTGGAATAAGTCTATGAACACTCACGAAAGAAGTTGAAGAAGACACAAGAAGATGGAAAAGCATTCCATGCTCATGGATCAGAAGAATAAACATTGTTAAAACATCCATACTGCCCAGAGCAATCTAAACTTTCAATGCCATTTCAATCAAAATTCCACCGGCATTTTTCAAAGTACTGGAACAAACAATCCTAAAATTTGAATGAAACCAGAAAAGACCCCAGATCACTAAGGAAATGTTGAAAAAGAAAAACAAAGCTGGGGGCATCACGTTGCCTGACTTCAAGCTTTATTACAAAGCTATGATCACCAAGACAGCATGATACTGACACAAAAAACAGATACATAGACCAGTGGAACAGAGTAGAGAGTCCAGATATGGACCCGCAAGTCTATGGTCAAATAATCTTCGACAAATCAGGAAAAAATATCCTGTGGAAAAAAAGTCCCTTCAATAAATGGTGGGGGGAAAATTGGACAGCTACGTATAGACGAATGAAACTTGACCATTCTCTTACACTATACACAAAGATAAACTCAAAATGGATGAAAGACCTCAACATGAGGCAGGAATCTATCAAATTCTTAGAGGAGAACATAGGCAGTAACCTCTTCAACATCAGTCACAGCTTCTTTCAAGAACTTCTTTCAAGTCATGTCTTTAAAGGCAAGGGAAATAAAAGTAAAAATGAACTTCTGGAACTTCATCAAGATAAAAAGCTTCTGCACAGCAAAGGGAACAATCAGCAAAACAAAGAGGCAACCCACGGAATGGGAGAAGATATTCACAAATTACGCTACAGACAAAGGGCTGATATCCAAGATCTATAAAGAAATTCTCAAACTCAACACCCAAAAAACAGATAATAATGTCAAAAAATGGGCAGAAGACATTAACAGACACTTCTCCGAAAGAAGACATGCAAATGGCTAACAGACACATGAAAAAATGTTCATCATTAGCCATCAGGGAAACTCAAATCAAAACCATATTGAGATACCACCTTACACCAGTTAGAATGGCCAAAATTAACAAAACAAGAAAAAACAAGTGTTGGAGAGGATATAGAGGAAGAGGAACTCTCTTACAGTATTGGTGGGAATGCAGGTTGGTGCAGCCACTTTGGAAACCAGTGTGGAGATTCCTCAAAAAATTAAAAATAGAGCTACCCTATGACCCTGCAATTGCACTACTGGGTATTTACCCCAAGATACAGATGGAGTGAAAAGAAGGGCCACATATACCCCAATGTTCATAGCAGCAATGGCCACAATTGCCAAACCATAGAAAGAGCTAAGATGGCCTTCAGCAGACGAATGAATAAAGAAGATATGGTCCATGTGTACAATGAAATATGCCTCCATCAGAAAGGAGGAATACCTAATTTTTGTAACATGGATGGGACTGGAAGAGATTATGCTGAGTGAAAAAAGTCAGACAGAGAAATCCATTT